TATTGAATTAACAGATTCTACAGCTACAGGGCAAGAAATTTTTTTTATATGAATTAGAACAGAAAATTGGCGATTGTGCCAGTATTGTTCGAAGTGTAATAAATGAGTCAATAATGAATCAGTCAATAATTCAGCTTTTATCAGACATAATCATCCTACAATTTCTTTTGACTACACAATTTTTGAAGAAGAAAAACTTTTTTATCCAGCTTTAAAATTCGGCATGATAGACACCATATACGTTATAAACAGATCCTTCAGATTTTTTCCACCAAAACTTAAACAAATTCTTAATCAGTTAAAAAACCACCATTTGATGATTTATTTTATTTCCAGACCACCACTTGTAAATAATGGCATAATAATTCCAGCTTATCTTTATATAATAATATATGAAGGAGCCAAAATATTTCTACCTTCCAAAAAGACCAATACAAAGATAAAAGTTAGATAGATTGATTACGAAAGATAAATCTCACAGACCGCGACAATAATAGAAACTCAAAATAATAATTTCAGACTTGTAGCTTAATGGAACAATAGAGTTATTTTCTATCAAGAGCATCTTGTCTTAAGAGTTAAAACAGAAAAAATTTCAGCTCCTAATATTGAATAGAAGCAGCTATATCTGATGACTTTTCAAGAAACAAATGATGAATCAACAGAAAGACAATCAGACACAGTAGAAGAATACATATCAGACGGCCAAACTAATGAAATGGTTGAAGATCTAGAAGAAGCCTACATAGATATGATGGACAGATAAGCAATTAAAGAAGAAAAGACAAGCAACAGACATTTAAAGGAGAATAAATGTGAAGATAAGCAAAAGACGGATGAATAAGGATAATTATCATGCCAAAGAAATCAAAAAGATAAAGTTTTCAGAAAGAATCTCACAGGTGTAAAGAGACATTTAATTCTTTAATTATATACCATACACTTGTAAAGTGATACAATATTTTTTTAATTACACAGTTGTAAAGTTGAAAAGACGCAATGTACCAGCTTCTACAAATATCAATATTACTCACACAAAGAAACCACACCGAGAAAAAATAACAGCATAGCACACTATAACACTTGCACTCAAAAATTCAAAGACATCCTTGTAAATTCAATCTTTGTAGATTTGAAGATTTCAGAAATAAAAAATAAGCTATTTTTACACTTTCTCTTATTTATAATTTTCGTTTGCTTTATTTAATTTTCGGGCAAGACATAAAAGGGGAAACACCAAGTAAGCAATTAATTTATAAAAAAATAAATTATTATATTTTATTTTATTTTATTTTTCAAATATAATCCCAACGCTCTTAGCCTCTTTATTATGGATTTCATGGCCAAAAAGATAAAATAATCTTCTGAGTTAAGTTAGTTATTTTACTTATTAAGTAAGTTTGTTCAAACCTTTTAAAAATGATGAAAATCTTTTGGGAAAATTGCTGCCATGGTCCCAAACCTTTCATTTTATTGCAGATTACACCCAAACCTTTCATTTTTGCGATCGAAGTCCCAAACCTTGATATGTAGTTGCAGCGTTGGTCCCAAGCATTTGATTCCGTTCATAAAACCACCAGTCAACGTTTCACTCAAAAAAATTGCAGCGCTGGTCCCAAACCTTTCATTTTTTACAGATTACACTCAAACTTTTCATTTTTGCAGTCGAAGTGCCAAACCTTTATATATAATTACAGCGTTCGTCCATTTCACGCATT